TGGGTGGATTGCTTGAGCTCAGGAGTTTGAGACTACTAGAGAACATGTATCGGGTGCCTCTCCTTTTTCCCTTTGTGTTCGTCATTTTGGTGAATTACTGAAAGATGGCGTCTCCGGCCGAAAGGCTATAATGACCCTTAAGCATAATAGTGTTCCTAAACTGAAGAAGGCTGTGATATGCCTCATGGAGAAAATACGTGTGTTAGATAGCCTCATTTAGGTATAGTGCTGCTGGGTGTGAGTTCAGTATTCATGAATTAACAATACATATTCAATAGGATATCTTTAAAAAGAACACACAGAAAGCAAGTTTCTGTATTGAGGACTGTATGAATTACTATGACCATGGCACATAGGAGCCTGGCTGAGAGGCACATGAGTGCCTTCTGAGAGCAGTGGTTCATATTCTCTAATTCACTGCTTGTGACAGTTTTAAGTAATGTCTGTAGATAGAATCAACTTTTTGTAGTGAGTTGCTAATCTCTTATTGCTTTCAAGGTTCTCACTTTTGTCAAACTACTTTAGACAATTTGATTATAATATTTTAAGTGTGGGCTCAGTGCCTGTGGCTCAAGTGGCTAAGGTGCCAGCCACATACACCTAAGCTGGCGGGTTCAAATCCAGCCCAGGACTGCCAAACAACAATGGCTGCAACCAAAAAATAGCCAGGCGTTGTGGTAGGCGCCTGTGGTCCCAGCTACTTGAGAGGCAAAGGCAGGAGACTTGCTTGAGCCCAGGAGTTGGAGGTTGCTGTGAGCTGTGATGTCACAGCACTCTACCCAGAGTGACAGCTTGAGGCTTTGTCTCAAAAATATTAATAATAATAATATCTTTTTTTTTTTTTTTTGAGACGGAGCCTCAAGCTATCCCTCTGGGTAGAGTGCCATGGCATCATGCTCACAGCAACCTCCCAACTCCTGGGCTCAAGTGAGTCTCCTGCCTCAGCCTCCCAAGTAGCTGGGACCACAGGCGCCCACCACAACGCCCGGCTATTTTTTGGTTGCAACCATCATTG